ACCATTAAGTTTATAAAAACTGTATATCATTATTGTAATTTGTACCTGCTGTAGTGAAATTCCAGTACACACAGCGAGGATTACTAATATTCTTTAATATCAGATAATAATAATGATAATTATCAATACTTATTTAACCACTTACTGCTACTCTATTCAGAGACCGAGTAATAACTACTGGATCAGGTAGTTTAGTATCATCAGCTACTCCACCAATTCTTGCACCAATGACTGATGATCCTACTATTGTATTAGGGGGAGGATCTCGAACAGGAAAGAGTACTGATTGATTGTACAGTGTGAATGATAAATCAATGCTGTCACTCTGAACAATATTTCTAATGTTTTGTGGCAATCCAATTGATGCTATTCTGTTAAGATTCATTTCATTTGCATCATCATCTTCAACTTGAGTGTCAACTATCAATCTATTATCTATGGTTGTGTAATTAATATAAAGCAATAAAATATAAATATGTGACCATAATTGACAAAAGGTACCTTATGGCGGGTAGTGAAATTTGTCTTTCTAGCCTAAGAAATCCAACTTCCTGAGCCCCATTTATCATAAAATTACTCCACAGGATGCAAAAAGTTACCATGAAACTTTTAGAAACAATATTTGACTAACAGAGCACTCACAGGATGATATTTTCCATTATAACGATCAATTTTAAAATCCGCCATAAGGGCCCTTTTGTCAATTATGGTCACATATCATAGATTTTAATAGATTATACTAACCAGAAGAGACTGCAGTGAATACTATTCCACTAAATTCTGATTGTTGAAGCTATAAACTAAATTGAATCAAAAATCACAATCAAGACTCACTCTTTCTCCTTTTAAAGCAATGTCATCTTCTACAATTGTTACATTAGTAAAATTGTCTTGATTTATTAAAGCATCCACAATCTTCTCAAAAGAATTGATAATGCTATAAAAGGGTCAATAATAATATTTTTACAAAATCAGTTTGATGTTACTTGTTAGATTCTGTCTCTAATACATTTGGTGACCATTCCTCAATGCTGTCTAGTATTTGTACAGTGTTCTCTGTTGTCTTTTTTTAGAATATTATGAGGCATAACATAAGTTTAATATAATTAAATTCTTACCATTGACAGCTCTGATGATGAGAGACTCATGATTACCATTGGATCTGATAGCAGTATTGCTGTTTGGTTCAATATAGTGGACACTACTTGAATGTTGTCAGTATTCTGATCAGCAGTATCAATAGTACTGACAACTAGATTAGTTAGGTTCTCAGATACCATTACTACATTTTTAGTAGTAATATTTATCTATTGAATGCAAGTAATGACATCCACACACATCAAGTCTTTATTACTTTTGATATGTTTCTAAATTTACAAGATACCTCAGTGGTTGCACAAGATGTAATGTTAGGCGATTCCCATCTGCTGTTAGTAACACATCTTCTAGTAGCGACAGCTCCAGTAGGACCATTAGGACATGACACATCAACTGTACTGCCTGATATTGTAACTGGCCATTCAAATGTACCACGATCAGTACTGACTGTAATGTCCATAATACAAGTATTGGGATCTAAAGGATTCCATATTAAACTATTATAAATTGTATGGAGTATATAATGCACCATATGCTATAATATTACACACATACAAGTAAACATTTAATACATAAAACACAGTCTATATTAATAAATACATGCATTTATAAATAACCTGGAGAGACTACTTCAATGGGTTCACTAGTAGGTCCAGCAATAGGTCCCTGACTTGATCCATCATCAACAGAAAGACCCATTGATACTCCATAGGTAGCCTGTCCATCAAGACCAGTAGCAGTAAAACTGGTATCTCTATAAGGGACTCTATATACTAAATCTCCTGTGGTCTGTCTCTTTCTGCTGGATCTTGTCAGTCTTATTGTGTATTCAAAGAAACCACGGGCTTGTTCAAAACTCACTGCATTCCAAGTAATAGTCATATTAGTACCATCAGCAGATCTGATCCCTCTTATGCCTGATGGAGATACACTAGGAGCTAGCATTAGAAAAAAATAGAGAAAATAAAGAAATGATGAAAAAGGGAAATGAAAAAAGATAACACACACATATGTAATTGAATACATGTACATACAGAGATTACATATACATTGCACATAATCAATGTGCATACATGTACTTACTCAAAACTCTAGTAAAGACAGTAACTTCAACTGGCATTCCTCTACCAAACTCATTATAAGCAACCAGAGTGACATTATATGGTACCCCAGGAGCTAGAAAGACAACAAATAAAACATGAAAATTATGATCCTTTAATATAGAACAATTAAAGTTAATGTACATGTATATGAATGCAATATGGCCAGCTTAATGATGACCCATAGAAATAGTACTTACTTAATACTGTAGTATTAGTAATCAGTTCCATAAAAGAGTTTTTGTCAACATCAGTAATTGTACGTCTTATCAAGTTATTTCCATTAGTATATCCATCAACATCAATGATATAGTTCATAATGCGTCCATTTGATGTAGTAGGAGGAGACCATGTCACATTAATGGTGTGATTATCCACTGATGGTAATGTAGTGAATATTGTACCAGATATAGTAATATCCCTCGTCACCAATAGAGGAGGACTAGACACTATAAAATAATAATAGGAGATGATAAAGTTTTAAAATTATTGTGATCATAGTAAGAATGAAAAGAGAATGTTAATGCAAGAGAAATAGACTCACTGTCTGGCAGTGTTCTTCCACTAGTAGTAGATATAGGCCCAAACCCAATGATAGTACTAGCAGTAACAGTGGCAGTGTAATTATTATAAGCACTCAAGAATCCTTCCTCATCAAGTGTATACATTAATTGATCAGAAGAGATATTCATAATGTGATAAGCACTTGTTTCAATGTTAGTAACTTTGAGTAGATATCCAGTGATTATTCCATTAGGTATTGATGGTCTGCTCCATCTAAATGTAACTGTTGTCATTGTTGGGGTAGAAGTAAAGTTCTGTGGTCCATCATCAGGTTCTATAAAAATTGAAGAGAGAAACAAGACATGATTAATTGCTAGTAGATAGTTACTAGCAATCTTAAGTAGATCTACATGTCATTTATGCCCCCAATCACAAAAACAGTGTGGAAGTGAACAAAATTCAAAATCACAATGTACATAGAGTATATACATGAATAACCATTGTATAGCTATAATGACTTACTATCTTGTGCTGTTTCAAAGGTACACTGGGTAGGGGGTCCTGGTCCTACTACATTAATAAATGACAGCTCACAAGTGTAACCAGTAAAAGGCATAACATCAGTAATAGTGAACATTGTGTTTGTTGAAGTTTGTGTTGGGCTCAATCCATTGACTGATATACCACTAGTATTCATACATGTTAAATTATAACCAAATGGTGCTCCATTTTGATCTATTAGTGCTGGTGCAGTCCAGGTAAGCGTGACATTACGTGGTAAGAATGTTATATTAGCACAATCTATTGGAGGAGCAACTGGCACTGTAATTTAAAAAGAAAAAAGTGAAAACACTTATGAGATGACTATAATCAATTTTTACTTACATGCTGGAAGTGTTCTAAAGCTCATCTCTACAGTACTAGTAGTACCAAGACAATTGGTAGAATCAACTGTATATGTATAAGTGTTATCTTCCTCAAGGCCAGTCAACATGATCACAAATTTTTGATTAATTGCAGTGATGTTACTGGAGCTCATTCTTATGATAGAAGTTGCTTGTGTTGTTTGTAAGATTGCTCCAGTGTGCTTAACATTGTAGGTTTCAGGTGTATAGGCAATGTTAGGTATTATGAATGATACAGCAGCAGTAGTTGTTCCTGGAGTAACTGTGACATTAGTGGCAGGAACAGGTAAACTTTGAGCTATAGAAGAAAAAAGGAGTGAAGCAGTGACAGAGAAGAAATAAAGAGAAAAAATTAGAAAAGGAAGATGAGTATGTATGGTATATAAAGTGTTGGAAACATATGACACAGTTAACCACATGTATAGTTGTCCACTTACGTCTTATAGCCACAGTGCTTTCCTCACTACTAGTAGCAATATCAGTTGAATCAGGTATAGTAATACTAGCAGTACATCTATAAGTACCAGAATCAGCAGCAGTGCTGTTGGTAAAGCTCAATGTATTAGTAACAGTGGTAGTCATATTCCCTCCAGTAGTAGTCACAGTACCAGTTTCTATTGTACCATTATGTGTCCATGCTATTACCAGGTTTGGAATTACTATGGTTGGTTTAGTGGCTGTACAGGTAAGAGTGAAGTTATCATATGGGTCTGAATCTGGACATGATGTCTCCAGACCCAGAAATGAATCCGGAGAAGCAGAAAACCCTCCAATAAAGGGATCTATAAGAAAATTAAATAATTAATTAAAATAGATACCTAAAAAAATTAATATCAAATTTACCAACTATATCAATAGTGATTAAGTAATTGTAAATTAATTGGACAAGCTCACATGCAAAAAGGGTGATTGTTCAAAGATGAAAAATTTAATAACTGATTGGAATTAGTTTAACATTGGGCATTAATATTTATACATGTAGGTGTAACAGTATACTAACATATAATATTAATATTAGGGTTGATATGGTACAGGGACTTTGGCCCAATTTTTGAGTAACTTTAAAAATTCATAAAAAATTCAATTTCAACCAAAATCAG